AAAAAAAAAATTTTGAATTTACTTACTTGTAGCCAGAGTTAGAGGCGGTCGGATACTTATGACCGCTACTGTATATCTAACTTTGGCTCTAAAATTATCAGGATATTTCAAAGTAATTATATATATATTATACTTATTAAAAATGGACGAAATTAAATATCAGTTAATGGTTGTTCTAATATGTGAGAATCATTCCAATCTAGTATTTGTAATCCTAAAAAATTTGTATTACAGAGAGTGGATAAAAATATCTACATATCCTTTATAAACGTAAAATAATGCTAGTAAAATCATATAACTGCAATTAAAAATGACGCCTCAATTAGTTGTAACAGGTGAAATGAATTGCAATGTTATTAAAATTTAAGTTGCAACAGATGATAAATAAGTGTCATAATGTTACAATACTATTTTTAATTGCAATAAAAATTGCGTTTATATAACACTTAAGTATTTATTTATATTATAAAAATAAAAGAATAATAATTTGTTTTTTTTAATAAATTTTTCTTCTCTGAAAATCTAAAAAAATAAATGGTAAAAACTAAAAAATTAACTGCAATAATTTTCAAGAGAAAAATAATCATTATACATTATCTTGGTTAGTTCAAAGTTCTGATTTTAATCCAATTGAGAATCTTTAGGCGAAAATCAAGAAAAACATCTGAACTTATAAAAAACCTCTATTTAATTTAACTTATATGTTAAAAAGGTATGGCAAGAAATTCTGAAACATACTATTAAAAACCTAGTCAATAATATGTTATAATGAATTTAAGCTATAATTATAGCAAATGGTGGTTCAATTAAGTACTAGTTACTTAGTACAAAATGTAGATATTAATTAGCTTTAAACAAAAAATTAATTGACCTTTTATTATTATTACAAAAAATTTATGTTTTATATTAAGTGAAAAATATGCGAATACTTTTGTTCATCCTCTGTATTTTAATAAATATGTCTATATAAAGATGTAATTACAGGACTAGGTATTTCTTCAATATTACTAAATTTTAATTCAACTTGACATCTATAATCAAGACAATCCTCATATTTTTTATTTCCTTCCAAAATTAAAGTATAGAAATTTTTATCATTTATTTCTAAAACTATTTACCAGCTAACATATATGAGATAAAGATAAAGACCCTTTTCTAAGTTTTTTTATTTCTTATAGTCTACCAGTTGTAAATATTAATCTCATAATATAAATAAGAAATAATAACATTAAGAGAAATTAATTTTATAATCAAATGAAGTTGTTTAGTTATGTTAAAATGTATATATCAGTACTTTTAAAATTTTGTTGAATTTTAAAGTTTTAAATAAACAAAAAAATTAAAGCAATCTATTCCAAATGAAGATATGTATATTATTTTCTTGTTAAGTCTTTTTATTTGGCTTTCAGATTTAGTATGTAAACGAGTGGCAGGTCCTTTCTGCCCTTGATCTTCAAACTTTTTCAGTATGTTTGAAGGATCAATAAACTACTTACCAGTGTACCTGAGTAACCAATAAATGCTTAAGTACTCTTCACTATAATTCTCAAGATTTTCACTTGTAAAAATTTGTTTAGGACGTATCTTGGTTAACGAGGGATACTTCTTATCTGCACTTACATAGGGACTGTGGTAATTTTTCATTTAGTTAAGAATAAAGAAGTACTGCCAATTTGCAAGCAATATTAGGATCATCAGATCAGCTGCTTGCTGATTAAGTTTAAAGATAATTGCAATATAGCAGTGATAATATCCTTTAAGTTCTTCTTTATTTGATACGTAATCAACTGAAACAAAATGTGTGAAGGCCACACGACCATTCAGAATGTACTTGAGTGCTTGTTCATTATCTAAATAGAACAGCTGAACAAAATCTCTAAGAATAATGGAAAAACTAAACCACCTTTTCTTAAGGTATCTGACTACAAGAATTAGAATGAGTTGCACTACAAGTTCTTCACGTAAAACAGGTTTCACAATACCCTTCTTCAATGAATCGTTAAACATCTTTAGAACTTTGACTAAATTACCTTTATCCTCAATTAAGAAGAATCCCGCTTCTACCAACAGTAGCTTTGAGGGTAACCAACTAACAGATTTTTCCTGTCTTCTAAGATCGTGTAGTATATTGATGCATGTGATGTGACAATATCAGATGCCAGTATTAGTTATGATGAGATCTTCAGGTAGGTCAGCAGAGATATAATAGTGATGTTCACATAGGTGATATCAGCACGTGTCAGATTATCAACCCTTAAGAAACTTGATTTTGAAATGTTCTATCAAATTTCTGAGGCATCTGGAATTTTTCTTATTATTCTCTAAGTAAATATAGCCTAGTGATCTTCCTAATCTTGTTAGTGTAAACATTTCTCTATCTTCTGGATTAGTAATGTCAAGTGAGATTTTACTTTTCTAGAATACATTCATGATAAAGAGCTTGATAAAGAGTGTAAAAAGAATCATATCAGTCTCTTAATCCACATTTGCATTATCATTTCTGATAGATGAATCAGCTGCAGTGAGTAGTGCAAAATTTGCTACTTTACTAAGTATATCTAGAAATAATACAAAGAATCCTGTCCATTTGCCTTACCTGCTGATCTGTTGTAGAGCTCTTCAAAAGAGTCTGAATGGGTTAATGGCATCTTTCTAAGGAGAAAGAAGAGACTGAACCTCATCGATACATATAATCATCTTAATATCTTCTTACCTATATAACTATCAAGAGAGATTTTGAGACATAATATCCAACACATTGTTTTTAATCACTTGCTTCTAATTCTCTATGTTCTTCAAAACCTCAATTCAGAAGAAAAGACCTAAAACCCCATCTATAAGTCTCACATGTGCTTGGGCGAATGACTTTTGCTCTTTGAAAATAAATTCATTAATTGAAAAAGAATGTAAGCAAGTCACCATTCTTCTCCTTGCCGAAGGTGTATGAAAAAGATTTTTTCTAAAAAGTTTGCAATGATCTCTGTTCATGAAGGATATCCTGTATTTGCTGCAGGATGTAAGCAAAGGTAAAGTGTGAAAATATCCTTAGTGACCTCTTTGATAAGACGAGATTTGCTGTATTCTGAGGCTTAGAATAATGTCCAGTATGAAACATATTTAGTTTGATATTCTGTCTAATATTAGTGCTTAGTATGAAGCTTACACTTGAAATCTCTAATGACATTTTCAGCATCAATGTAACTTAAATTAAAAGCTAGCTCCACTTCATTTTGTTGAAATAGTGAAATATTAGCTTCAACTTTGTTCTGTTCGCCTTCTGCTAAAGCTGTCACCATAGGTTAGAAAAGAAAAAATGTAAAGGAATGTAAAGGAGACAGTTAGTCAATTTTGCAAACAGCACACCAAGGTTGCTCAAATAAATGGACTAAAACAGATATATAGTGATATAATAATATTTGCTATATTCTATTCTATACGCCTTCCAATGCGCATGTTGTGATACATTCAACCATTCTCTGTTTGCTTCTCTATTTAACGCATAACATCTCTTATTTCAGTTCATCTTTGAAATGAGTCTTCGTATAATCTAACCTTTGCTATGACTCTGCTTTATGTCCTAACTCTAACATATGTTATAATGCATTTGAACTATTCTCTCTATATAACCTAGCTCTTCTGCCATTTACTAAGCTCTATTCTGTAGTCCTTCCAATACGTATATTCTATCTATTCTCTCTCTATTACTGCTTTACGAATCCTGTAATGTCTCTATGATCCCAATAATAACGTCTAACTATCTCTCTTACAATATAATACAAAACTAGTAACAGTATTCAAACTTTCTTCCCGTTGCTCCTCTATTCTCCCAATAAATATGTGTTACTTGCTTACTTACCTTGTATTTTAAGATATTCTTGTATGCATCTTTTCCTTACTGCAAGTTTTTTTCAGGATGTTTACGGCCATATTCCCATAAAAAATCGCTTTTAATCATTACTACGTCCATTGGGTTTATGTTTTAGTAAATGAGAATGGTAAAAGAAGAGTCACAATCTGTACCTGCCCAACTCTGCTGAATCAACTATAATAAATTCTCAGTTTCATTAAAATTGCAAATTCATGATTATTATTATTATTTAACATATATTTAATATTTTTAATATTGTATGTTGATTTAAAAAATCGTGACGTAATCGCCAAATTTGAAAAGTATCTCCTGCAGGGCTATTCTTCAGGAGAGACTATTCCAAATAAGAAGAATAGTTACACAATTTAATAATTTTTTTATACATTTTACAGTACTTTTTGATGATCTTTACGCAACCTATCTTTATCATAAAACGTGAGTAAATATATTAAGCAAACTTGAAGTATTCACACTGCTCTACAATATATTTGTTTAATCCTTATTAATTCTATACCTTTACATTATTATTTAGCTGTTAAAGATATGTCTGAAATGAAGAAATGTACAGAATGCCAAACTATTAATTTGACTAAATTTCGTTCATTAAAGGGAGAAAAATAGAAGAAAGTTGAGAATAATAATTTAGCAAAGGTAATATGAAATGAAGGTATTCTTTTATGTAACGTATGTTATATGCATTTTGTAGAAAATCCTTTAAAAAAAAGGCTATAAGAGAGTAAAAAATATGAACGAATAAGCTACAGATGAAAATATTATGAACAAGAAGGTAAGTATGAAGGTTGACTTTACTGAAGCTATTAAGGCAATAGTAAAAATACTTTACAAAAGAGAACATTCTAAGAAAGAACAGTCTATATACTCGTTCAATGAAATGCGAAGGATATTTCAAGAAATTGAACTGAGTTTGAAGGATTTTTTTAACTAGCTTTATTTAGTGGCTTAACCATGTGAACGTAATGAACAAACGATAGACTGTATGAAAAAATTGATGGTTCTTATATATTATCTACTTGCATTACTAAATAATACGAAAATTTGTTCTTTTAAATTTGATCTTAGATATTTGGATTCAGTAGGTACAAGCAATAAAGGTCTGAATACAATAGCTAATCTTGGCATGTTTATAATGTCAAGATTAATAGATCGCAAAAAGAAAAGAATGTATGATATGCATAAAGAATATATAGAGAAGGCTCTTGCAAATCATTCAGAAAATTCATTTGTTCTGAACATAAACGATTATCATAATATTCATATTTAGAGATGACCTGATACTACCAGTACATTTAAAGCAGTATATATAGTAATGATTATGGTGAATCTGTGTCCAATACCTGCAATATCACGAAATGAAACAATTAATCCAAAGATTGTTGATGCTGAATTGATCATTAGACATCTTAAAGAAGGATTTATCATAAACCTAGGTGTTTCATATTAAGATCGTAGGTGGAATAGTGTAGGAGTAGATTACCTTAATGATGAGGTTATAGACAGATTGATAATACACAATTACAATGATAGACTAGTGGGAAAAAGGGTAATCAGCATATACAAAATTCTATTCTTATCGATTTTGTTGAAATGATTTGAAAGGTATAGGAGGATATACGAAAGCTCTCTAAATCATATATAACCAAGAGCTAATGCAAAAGTACCTTTTCAATCATGCTATTCCTATTATTGCAGATTAGTCTGAGCAGTTCTACATTTGTAAAGCTATTGCGTAATGTTTTCTTATTAACAATAAAACCATTCCTCATTTTGTTGTATCCTTTTTGCTCATGATGAGTTCTCTTTATGTATCACTAAATGGTTATGAGCTTGTTTTTCTACAGAACTCTTTTTTTTTAACGACATCTATAAAAGCATATTTGATGCAAACAAGGATCTTGGTAAAAAACTGTGACTGTAGAGAATCAACTTAATTTTCCGTATTGTGCGCATAACGTAGTTTGATATATCTAAGGTTATTTATTTAAAAATTAGTCATATGAGCAAAAATATTGAGTTTTTATATTTAACAGATCTATTAAGTAATTTAGATCCCTTGGTTCTTGACATTTACGCAATACACTATTAAGAAGGTGGTTGGCCTGCTTATGAAGAAGCTTATATGTATTGCTGGAGTGATCTATTTCTTCAGTTTGATCAGAGGAATTACAAACGTGCCTTCTTAATGTTTTTCTCTGATGTTTTTTATTGGATGGAAACCAATTATCCAATTTTTAATATAATTACTAATAATCTTGATTCTCTAAGCGATTGTCTTGTCAAATTTATTTACAGTGTTATACAATGACGTACTGCTAAGTTTTCTATAGCTCAACAACTGCAGAAAGAAGCACATTTTATCTTTTAGTAACAGGATGAAAATAAATTTAGACAACATTTTGTAAATGCCATTAAATATCCATATACGCTGAAGTAATTGAATACTCTTTCCTAAAGTGTGCTATATAACTTTTGAATATATTTACGAAAATATATCAAGCATATTATATACATCCTTCAGTTATTAAATCATCATTCAACGGTATTAATACATATAAATTGCCTTCTTTAGGTTATGAAGTGACCAATTGTTACCTTCTGCAGAGTTTTATTACTTCTAGAAAACTATATACCACCATTCTTTATGATTATTTGTATTATGAATATACTAACTATTTGATTGATAATATAGTTCTCGCATGTGGGCATAGTTACCATAACCATTGTCTACAAAGATGCTAATTTAAATGTTTGATATGTTTAGGGTATCTTTAAGACGAAGTCAAGAAAAATGTTGATGCTCTTATAACCAGTTTTATGAAGAGATTAGGTGAACAAAAATCTGTTGAAAAAGATACTGAAAATTATGCAGCTAAAAATGATTTAAATGATGTAAATGAGATGAAGGATGATATTATAAGAATGGAAAATTTGTTAGAATATGCAAAAGAATCATTTTTAAAATTGTAAAAATTTTATATATTTATATATTTTGAAATTATATTTTATTATTTTATTATTATATTAATTACAATATATATAATAAATATGTTTTTAAGTTTAATTTCTTGATTAACTAATAATTTTAATATGATGAGTTTTTTAAATCACATGATTTTATTTTAAAAATCACGATTTCGATTGGTTAATCAATGCATTGCCTACTTATTAAATTTAAAAATTTTGTGTAATAGGAGATAATCCCCCTGGAGGGCTATTCCTCCTATAACTTAAATTATAATATTAAGTGTAAATCTAAGTATAAATATACATAAATATTAAATCATTATCCATATCAAATGATGTGCATATTCAAAATACTGGATAATGCGTTAACAATTATTGTGTACACATTAATTACTAAATCAGTTATTTTCTGAATCATTGAATTATTCTAACGAATATATAAAACAATTTCATCTGATATTTATAACGCTATTTTTCTTTATCTATATAATAATAAATAATTACAATAAATATTTGCTAAAATATTAATATTTATAATTGATAAATAAACTGATTTATCAAATACACATAATTTTGTAATATTTATAACAAATAAAATGGTAAATTGTGAATAAAAAAATTAAAAATAACTGAACTATTATAAAATTTAAAAAAAACAACATTCGTAACTAATTATTCTTATATAATACAAAACTATTTGTCAACGGCAGGCAGGTTACACCCTTACCTCTAGTTAAACATAATTACGATTACTTATTTTGATTTGCTGATCAAACAAGTTATCATCTCCTAAAGTTT